AATTCGGTCAGTTCTGGAAACCGGAACATACTTCTGGAGTGAAAAATTATCGTTAAACAGGGGTACTGGACCGTGGAATGTTTGCAAAAATTCTGACCTTTTCTCCAACATAACTACCCAATGTATTTGGAATATTTCCAAGTTTTATCATAAGAAAATAGAGAAATATTTTTTCTACAATTTATGGGAAGATTATTCCATTTAATTAAGTAATAACGTCGGAAGAACGGCGGCATATGTGAATAAGTTACTTCCGAGATATTGGCCTGGAGCGCCGGAAGGCCGTTCGGAAAAAAAAAACTCGCGTTTGTTTGGGGGTATTTTTAGTAAATACTGGTGTTTAGTGCAGTTATCCTCTTCACACACCGTTTTCTATCATTGAAGACCAAGTATACAACAAGAATATGAGGGGAAAACAATTTATATACAATATTACTGGTGCGATTCTTGCCCATAATTATGGCTATTTCTATTTAGTCTAGAGTATAAACATGTTTGTATGATATTTTATAGTGTTGATTAGATCATATACAATCAATTTGTAGATAATTAAGCCGTGAGTTGATTTTTGTGTGTAAGCGTAATAATGAAGTGATTTCTCCTGGCACTCTCTGGAGCCGAGCCGATCCACACATGCCGCTGGTTGGGTCTATGTATACGGATAAGCTCCACTACTGTTATATGATGCCAAATAGTCAGTTATTATATAGAAGAATAATGAAGGAAAAAGCGATAAAAAACAAGGAAAAATTCCAAAAATACTATGGCCGTGAGCAGACGGCTACCCATATGCCGTCAACCTTACCTGATATAAATGAGACTATAATTTCTTGTAGAAACGTCGTAGACATTGGATTTTGTACCATTGTGTTGTCAAAAAGAGTAAGATATTTTTCTGTATGAATAACCAATTTCACAATTTTTTTATTATTTTTGGAGAGTGTGCGAATAAGGGGGGGGGGGGGGTCGATATAGTGCCATAAGGGTTATGTTAGGGCAATACCAATACTATCAAAAATTTGCCATTATCAATGAAACTGATACTTTGCAGACTTCTAGTACTTACCTTATTGTAAGTGTTGACAAGTTGATAATATGGAAAGCACAAAGTTGTAACCAAACAACAAAGAGAAGCCAGTTGTGTATCATTGAGAAGGCTGTGACAGATATGGTGTCAGATGTCTCAAATAGGACATTGTGATCGGGACCAATTAGCTGAATTCGTCCTCATAACTCATGCCCATCTGGGGAAAACATTTCAATTATGAACAATTAGGCAACCAATACCTATTACACTACATTTCAATAATAAAAGGTTTCCTTTCCACTTGGTGCACTTAACTGGATGGCTGCCTTACATCAACCTTTCAGAGGTCATTCATCCAAAAGGCTCACACAAGTGCCAAATTTTGGGAATAAATTCATTATGCTCCATTTACCATTCAAAACAAATGAAGCAAATGTGCAATATATACTAATCAAATGAGTCTCCCTAAGCTCTTATGTACCAATATGGGTATAAAAATCAATTGTCCAAATTAACTAGAGGATGTTGTCTTTTTCTGCCCACAGAGTACAAAAAAGGTGCATTTTTACTATTACATAGCTCTTAATTTGCAGTAAATTAAAATCTATACCTTTAGCCGTAAAATGTCAAGCAGATTACGATCACATGTGTAGTGTACCAAAAGTAGATATTAGTTTTTTTTGTTTAATATTTTCAATAACAAAAAAAAAAAAGTAGATCAAAGTTTTCGACACATTTTCTAATGTAAAAAACAAAAAGATTACTTTTTTTAATAAATTCAAAATGGTTGAAAAAACGTATTTATAGTTCGGACCGTCTTACGGGTTAAGAGATGCCTTTATGTGTCTTACAAATATAATTTTATATATATGACTAAGATCAAGAATTTGCTTAGGTTGCAAGGCGTTAAAATCTTTGTCTATAGTCCATTTTATGCTAGTGATTTGTATACTGACCCTTTCACTGTGGAAAGCCCCAAAATTAGAAGTGCTAACAATGCTGGCATTGAAAAAAAAATTTTTGCTCTTCTTATAACACTTCTGCTTTGTAAAAACCTCTCAAAAGCTACCTTTTTCTCTTTTATCACACCCTTTACTTCATCATTCCACCAATCACTCCTTTCTTTTCCTCCTGCTCCCACCCTCCTATAACCACAAACTTCTGCCCCACTTTCTAATACTGCAGTTTTAAACTATCCAACCCTCTTCAACCCCCCCCCACTACTCATCTTGCACTAGCCCACCTTCTGCAATATTCGCTTATATCTCACCCGAACTTCCTCCCCCCCTTAGTTTATACACTTTCACCTCCCTCTTACTTGTTGTTGCCACCTTCCTCTTTTTCCCATCTACCTCTTACTCTAACTGAAAGCTACAACAAATAATGATGCGATATATCAGTTGCCCCTCTATAAACATGTACATCCTGGAGCCTACCCTTCAACCTTTATCCACCAATACATAATCTAATAAACTACTTTCATTACGTGCTACATCATACCTTGTATATTTTTTTAAATCCTCTTTTTCATAAAATATGTATTACTTTTTTCCCAAAAATTTCTTTCTACACATAGCTCAATTAAAGGCTCCCCATTTAATTTACCCCGGCACCCCAAATTTTACCTACTACTCCCTCCATAACATTTTTACCCACTTTAGCATTGAAATCTCCAACCACCATTACTGTCACACTTGATTCAAAACTCCCCACGCATTCACTCAACATTCCCAAAATCTCTCTCTCTCCTCTACACTTCCTTCTTCTCCAGGTGCAACCACGCTTATTATAACCCACTTTTCACATCCAATCTTTATTTTACTCCACATAATCCTTGAATTAATACATTTATAGTCCCTCTTTTCCTGCCATAGCTTATCCTTCAACATTATTGCTACTCCCTTCTTTAGCTCTAACTCTATTTTTAAACCCCTGACCTAATCCCATTTATTCCTCTCCACTGAAACTCTCCCACCCCCTTCAGCTTTGTTTCCCCTTAAAGCCAGACATCCAGCTTCTTCTCATTCATAACATCCACAATCATCTCTTTCTTATCATCTGCACAACATCCACGCACATTCAGACTTCCCACTTTGACAATTTTTTTCTTCTTATTCTTTTAGTAACTTTACAGGGAAAAGGGTTACTAGCCCATTGTTCCCGGCATTTTAGTTGACTTTTTCAACACGCATGGCTTACGGAGGAAAGATTCTTATTCCACTTCCCCGTGGATATAAAGGAAAATTAATAAGACCAAGAACTATTAAGATAAAATCAAAGAAAACTCAGATGAGTGTGTATAAAAAAATGGTACATGTATGTGTAGTGTGACCTAAGTGTAAGTAGAAGTAGCAAGACATGCCTGTAATCTTGCATATTTATGAGACAGACTTATCCCCCTATAATTTTTGCACTCTCTTTTATCCCCTTTGCCTTTATACAAAGGAACTATGCATGCTCTCTGCCAATCCCTAGGTACCTTACCCTCTTCCATACATTTATTAAATAACTGCACCAACCACTCCAAAACTATATCCCCACCTGCTTTTTAACATTTCTATCTTTATCCCATCAATCCCGGCTGCCTTACCCCCTTTCATTTTACCTACTGCCTCACGAACTTCCCCCACACTCACAACTGGCTCTTCCTCACTCCTACAAGATGTTGTTCCTCCTATTCAATAAAGTGGTCAGAAATTGGCAATTTTGCCAATTTCACACAAATTTCAAAAGATGCCAATTTCCAAATAGGGTCCAGAATAAACAAGACAAGACATTCCTGGCACTAAAATAACATTTCCTCTGTTCATTAGTCACGTCTCCAGGTCTTTGTTACATTTCTTTTGCTTTCCACTTTGAATTTTTATTCTCACAAAAAATAGAAGATTTACTGTTATGCAGTCTACTGCATTAGTGTAGAAATGGTATAAATAATACCAGTGCACTTGTGAAAGAATATTAGACTCACCAGTTGACGTGTATTGGACGCAGGGCATGATTTGTTTACTTTTGAACTTTGGCAAAAATTGAACATTTCTGCTACTCTGAGCTCAATTTCAAGGTCCTTTTCTTTGTGAAACCAATCAAAATCATCTCAATTTCTGTAATATGTCTTCCATTCTATAAAATGAGACCAGGAAAACTAGAATACAACCATAAATAGTATTCGAAAATACAGTGCAAAGTCGCGTTTTAAACCAAAAACAGAGTTTTTTTTCTCATTATGCACTGTGTGCTGCAGGATTTTTTTTTATACAGCACACACTGACCACATAGACCCATTCTTTCATATGTAGGCCTACCAGCTTTCTCTCACTAGATTTGAAGGTACTAGAATGTGTACTAGTACGGCACCAACCCTGGTGTGCAAGCCGTACTAGTACGGCACCAACCCTGAAAGGGCTAAAGAGAATCTCTGAGTAGTATGTCTTCCATTATATCATGTGATACCAAGAAACTGCAAATAACACCATCCTAGATAACATCTCAGTCACTATTTTCAACCAAAGACAAGGTGAGAGTTTAGTTTTCTCATCATGCACCACGTGGAGCAGGATTTTTTTATAGTATCCACACTCACTGCACAAAATCATTCTTTCATATCCAGGCCAAAATTTACCACTCACAGCTTATTTGAGTGAGCTGAGATCACGTAAAAGACCCTTATGTCAATAATGTAGATCTGCATGATGGACAATGACAGGGTTAATACCAGAAGGTAAAAAAAGGCAAAAAATGGAGAGGAGGAGAGAGAAAATAAAAATTGAAGTGTGATTTTGCAGTTTAAATGTAACCAAAAAATAAGCCATCAATGACTCAATGATAATATTACTGTACAAAGATTAATCAGAAACTAGTTGTGTCAACAATGCAATCTAAAAATGAAATTTACTGTAGACACTAGGCCTCTTCATCACAAAAAGGTTGACTGAATGAGTTGTGGAAAAAATTTACATTATCTTTATGCAATACAATTATAGCTACATGAAACTTTAACAAAACTAGCCTCCCAGGTCCAGAGCGAGGTCAAGAAGATGCAATGTGCCGTGTGCTGTTCCAACCACTAAAAGTCCATGCCAGGGACGTAATTCTGGTGCCAGAGTGCCAGAATCCACACTTACTTCTCCATTTGACACCATGCATAAACTTGTTACCTAGAAAATTTAATAATCAGAAATAAACCAACTTTTCATACTACAACAGAGAGAATTTTTAAAATTAATAAATTTCTTTCCTTCTAATTTCAATGTTTATCAAGTACCTTACTGAAAATACTTTGACTACACTCATTACCTTATGAGTGAAATGAAAAACCCGTGTAAGCCTTGAAGAATATAGAGATAATAGTGCCACCATTCCCTGAGGTTTACGATCAGCACCATGATCTACACCAACCACCACTTGAGACACTGCCCCTGGGCCAACTCCACACACACTGGTTACCTGTTTAAGAAAATTATCATAAGCCTCAAACCAACTTTGCATTAAAGATGTGAAAAAATAGGAACTGCAAACAAGTGTCTAGTCGGAAGTCTGGATACTAGGCTTCTCAAACGAGAAGTTAGAACTACACGTATGTACAAATGTTGCTAGGTTTACCCGAGTTCCAGTATTGTGCAGTATTGCCCCGAATGTCCATGCTGCTTTTCGTGTGCCTGTGCTTGGTTCAATAATTTCTACTGTTGGTCCAACAGCTCTCCATGCAAGCTGGCCCCCACCTACAAATCCACCAAGCACAGGAAAACCATTGTTCCCCAAATCTTTGGTTGGATCCTCAGAGTTCAAGGCAGACTCAGTCTCGTGGGTGAGTGGGGGCAGAGGGATGTGTCGCACAGCGCTGCCCACTTGCACAACACTCACTCCCACCATTTCTACCTGAAAGTAAGTCAGAATAAGTTTAAATTTCTACCAGGAACATAACATGACAATAGGAAAAAATATCGAGGCCAAGAATATGTAAGTTTACAAGGAAATCTTCATTAGTGTCAGTACAAATACCTATTATAGGTAGGTGAAAATATTCTCAGCATCAGGAAAATGCTCACAGTATAAAGCTACAGTACCATCACTGGAATGAATCTTTCAGTAAATAGTTAATAAAGTGTGGAAGCCATATTACAGCTATGTATTTTGGCTCAAAAGGTAAACTGAAGTGCAAAATAATCTTAGGGTACTGTGTAACGAGGAACCGATCTCGACAGTAATTTTGGTGAAATATCTATAAATATTCACTTCATCCTTCCATACTAGATGAATTGGTAGTGAATCATCTAAGAAAAAAAGTAAATGCCACTTTAGATTTCCTTTACAGTCACAGTGCCTACCTGCTAAGGCATGCAAGACTCTGTGGGAATTTTTTATTTAGGTGATAAGAAAAATAGAAGGTAGAAGGCTGGTAGACAGCAACCGCCCAGGGAGGTACTATCGTCCTGCCAAGTGAGTGTGAAACAGAAGCCTGTAGTTATATTACAAGATGGCAGGATTCCTGGTTTCTTTTTTTCAGTCTCACAAAAATGGAAGTTTCAGGTACGTCTTGCTACTTCTACTTACACTTAGGTCACATGCATGTACAAGCAGATATATGTCATGCTAAATAGGTAAAATTGGTCAATTAGCAAGAATTCATTTAAAATTAAGTCCTTTCTAAAAATTTCTCTTACACATTTAAAGATGTATTTTTTCATTTATGTTAATGCAAAAATTAATAATTTTGTAACAAAAAAGCCTTAGAAAACTTGCCTAACCTTATTATAACAAGAGCAATTTAATTTAGACTAATAATAAACACAACAAAATATATTTTTTGTTAGGTTCAGAATGATTTTTGCAAAATTATTGCATACACGAATTTCCACTTGCCTTATTCAGCAAGAATAGCATTGATATTTAAGCCTTTCAGGGTTGGTCCCATATACATGTATGTACAGCTTGATAGCCAATGTTGGTCCCGTATTTGTGTGCCAAAATTCTAGCGCCTCCAAATCTGGTAGAAGAAAGCTGGTAGGGCTACATATGAAAGAATGGGTCTATGTGGTCAGTGTGCACAGTATAAAAAAAATCCTGCAGCACACAGTGGATGAGAAAAAAAAAACTCCGACCGTATTTTTGGTTTAACCCTTTGACTATTGCAAGCCCATTTCTGAAACTGTCATTCTATGTTGCATAATTTTCAAAAAAAGAATTGATTTTATCTTTTGAAATGATAGAGAATCTTTTCCCGAACTAATGACACCAAAAGTATGAAATTTGATCGAAAACTTATGGAATTACGCTCTTGTGAAGTTAGTGATCTTGGCGATTTTTACGCATTGGCGATATCGCCAAATTTGAGCCCTGTTTTCAGCCAATTCTGTTGCTCCATTTGACAAAACTCATAGCTATTTCTTTAGAACTCCATTTCTTCTATCAACTGAGTACAAGAAAATGCCCATTTATCAATTTCAACTATCCAATAAAGTGGTCAGAAATTGGCAATTTGGCCAATTTCACAAATTAAAAAAGATGCCAATTTCAAAATAGGGTCCAGAATGGTATAAACCTTGGTAATAAATACCGACAAGTTGGTTTAGAAAGACACGTAAGCAAACACTATAGCATATTTATTAGAAAACGTTTCGGTCCTGGGACCTTGATCACTTCTAACATACAGAGGTAGAAAGACATTATATATATATATAGGCGGAGAGCGAGATGTGACGCACGTGACCTGAGGAATGTCATAAGAACATAAGAATGGAGGAACACTGTAGAAGGCCTACTGGCCCATGCGAGGCAGGTCCTTATCAAAACAACCTCTACCTATGATGAGGACGGGTAGACGATGAAATCATGTGACTCCTGTGTTGTTGGGTTGGTGCTGCTTAAGTATCATGTATGCCAATGTTTTTGAAATTTTGTAGTTTCCAGTGTTGCGTTCTATAGTGTCGGTGACGGCGATTAGCGAGGCTTCTAGGCACCGTCAGCGTCTGAGGTCTGGTTCGGCGAGAACGAGTTGTGCCTCATTCCAGTTCATCAAATGCCCCGTGGAGTCTCTGTGGAGGACACAGGCATACCTTACATCGTCTCTGTTAGAGGCATTTCGATGCCCTCGCATGGGCCAGTAGGCCTTCTACAGTGTTCCTCCATTCTTATGTTCTTATGACATTCCTCAGGTCACGTGCGTCACATCTCACTCTCCGCCTATATATATAATGTCTTTCTACCTCTGTATGTTAGAAGTGATCAAGGTCCCAGGACCGAAACGTTTTCTAATAAATATGTTATAGAGTTTGCTTACATGTCTTTCTAAACCAGGGTCCAGAATAAACAATGCAGACATTCCTGGCACTAAAACAACATTTTCTCTGCTCATTACTCACATCTCCAGGCTCGTCTTATACATTACTCTTGCTTTCTATTTTAATTTTTTATTCACACAAAGTAGAAGATTTACTGTTATGCAGAGTACTTCATTATTGTAAAAATGGTACAAATAATATCAGTTGACGTGTATTGGATGCATGGCTTGATTTGTTTACTCTTGAGCATTGGCAAAATTCGAACATTTCCGCTACTTTGAGCTCAATTTCATGGTCATTTTCATCATGGAACTAATCAAAATCATCTCTCTTTCTGTAATGTTTTCCATTCTACCAAATGAGACCAAGAAAACGAGAATACATCCATAAATACTACATGAAAATACACCTCAAAGTCAGCATTTTAATCCAAAAACAGAGTTTTTTTCTCTCATTATGCACTGTGTGCTGCAGGATTTTTTTATGCAGCGCACACTGACTACACAGACCCATTCTCTCACATGTGGGCCTACCAGCTTTCTCTCGCTCGATTTAAAGTCTCTAGAATTTTTGAGTACACAGGTACCATCCGACTTACGACCAAGCTTGGTTCCGACCAACCGGTTGTAAGTCAAAATGGATGCAAGTCAAACCTTACTACTGAATATCAACATCACACTTTTGTAATGACTATTTTATTTATTGCTTTATTTTGGTATTACTTTTTTACTTTACTTTTTATGCTGTTAGTACTGTATTTTATACTGTAAGGTTTAGGATAAACACTGTGTACAACACAAACATTGTTTATTTCCCAGAAATTTGGCATAAAAAAACATGGTCGTAAGTCGAGTGGTCATATGTCGAGCAGGTTTTAAGTCGGATAGTAGGTGTATATACGTCCGAAACACTGACTTTTAACCCTCTGAGGGTTTCGGCCATACAAGTACGGCTTACAACCCAGGGTTTTTGACGTACTAGTACGCCTAAATTCTAGCGCCCTCAAATCTAGTGGGAGAAAGCTGGTAGGCCTACATATGAAAGAATGGGTCTATGTGGTCAGTGTGCACAGTATAAAAACAATCCTGCAGCACACAGTGCATAATGAGAAAAAAAAAACTTTGAACGTTTTTTTGGAATAAAACAGCGACTTTGCACTGTATTTTCGTATGGTATTTATTGTTGTATTCTAGTTTTCTTCTTCTCATTTTATAGAATGGAAGACATATTACAGAAATTGAGATGATTTTGACTGGTTTTACAATGAAAAGTACCTTGAAATTGAGCTCAAAGTAGCAGAAATTTCGATTTTTACCAAAGTTTAAAAAGCATACAAATCATGCTAACGTCCAATACATTTCAACCGGTGATCTAATACGTATTCTTTCACAAGTGCCCAATATTATTTATACCATTTTTTACACTAATGCAGTAGTCTGCATAACATAAATCTTCTATTTTTTGTGAGAAAAAAAAATTCAAAGGGGAAAAGCAAAAAAAATTAAAGGGCCTTGAGACGTGGCTAATGAACAGAGGAAATGCCCATTTTAGTGCCGGGAATGTCTTTCTTGTTTATTGTGGATCCTATTCGGAAATTGGCATCTTTGAAATGTGTGAAATTGGCAAAATTGCTAAATTCTGACCACTGTACTGGATAGTTGAAATTGTAAATGGGGGGTTTCTTGCACTAAATTCGATAAAAAAAAATGGAGTTCTTGCAAAATATTAAATTTTTTTGTCGGTCTAGTACAGTGGAATTGGCCGAAAATGGGCTCAAAGTGGGCAAAATCGCCAATGCGTAAACATCGTGACCGCTATTTCGCAAGAGCATAATTTCATAAGTTTTCCATCAAATTTCATGCTTTTGGTGTCTTATGATCGGAAAAGATTATCTATCTTTTCATAAGATTTTTTTTTTTTAATTGGCCAAGCCCTGAGAACGAGTCTCGGAGAGGGCTGTCGACCCTCAAAGGGTTAAAAATGTATATATATGGCCGAAACAGTCAAAGGGTTAAAACAGCAATTTTGCAGTGTATTTTCGTATGGCATTTATGGTCGTATTCTCGTTTTTCTTGGTTCATTTAATAGAATGGAAGATATTTTAAACAGAAATTAAAAATGATTTTGATTGTTTCGCGATGAAAGGTACCTTAAATTGAGCTCAAAGTAGCAGAAATGCTTGATTTTTGTCAATGTTTAAGAGTAAACAAATCACACACCACGCATCCAAAACTTGTCAACTGGTGAGTCTAATATTCTTTCAAAAGTGCGCTGAATTTATTTACACCATTTTTACAATAATGCAGTAGTCTGCATAACAGTAAATCTTACATTTCTGTGAGAATAAAAATTCAAATGGAAAGCAAGAGTACCTGGAGATTGATTAATTTTTTTTTTTTAACAAGTCGGCCGTCTCCCACCGAGGCAGGGTGACCCAAAAAAGAAAGAAAATCCCCAAAAAGAAAATATTTTTAAACATCATTCAACACTTCACCACACCCCACACATGTGACTAATGAATAGAGAAAATGTTATTTTAGTGCCAGGAATGTCTGTCTTGCTTATTCTGGACCCTAATTTTGAAATTGGCATCTTTTG